CAATAATTCTTGATTTATTGCATTATATAAATCAAGAGTCAAGACCTATCTTTCACTCACAAATTGAGATGCCTTCCAAATTTTTTCTCTTGGTTATTGGTATTCTGGCTTGCACCAGCACTGCAAGAAATCCTGTTGGCCCAAAGGGTTCTTTCAATGATGAGAAAACATTCTCCTTGGATCATCCAATTTCAGGATTCAGAGGGTTTGGTGATGGAGGTGGTTTAGGGGGCGGTATTGGGGGAGGGATAGGTGGAGGAGCTGGTGGCGGCATTGGTGGACCTGGTGGAAGTATCAGTGGAGGGTTTGGTGGAGGTGGAGGAGGAGGAATAGATGAGGATGGTTCTATAGGCTTTGGAGGAGGAATTGGTGGTGGGATTGAAGGTAATATTGGAGGAGTACGACAAGGTTTTGGTGGCGGAGTCGGTGGTGGAGGCGGATTGGGTGGAGGATCTGGTGGTGGATTTGGTGGAGGAGCTGGTAGTGGAATAGGAGGTGGTGTGTAATTGAAAGTTTTAGTCACATTCTTACGCTTTATTTTTCCATGCAAATTATCTCTTTATGTTCTAATGTTAATTTTGGTTATATTCTTATAATCTGGTCACAAGTTTAATTCATTCTTATTCAAAATAATGTAATCCTTATGACCATCTTAAAGTTGGTTAAGAGGGAAATGTAATGCGAAAGAGCTAGCAGAAATTTGTTTTAAACCAAACTCAATTTCAAGTACATGTTCTCGACAAATACATATTGAGATGTTTGTGAAGATATATAAATATTTATTAGTTATATTGAAGACCTATCAAAGAAAGGAAAACAAAAACTACAATTAAAAAATACTTTCTAATTCATTATCGTTTTTTAAGCAAAACACCAGTTGAGAATAGATGGGATTTTTAGGTCTCCACCCAAACTTAGTAATTTAGGTTTGGACTCTTCATCCCTCTTTATCAATAGAGAACATATCAACTTTCCTATACATTTTACCCAAATAAATAAATAAATAAAATTAAATAAACAATTATCCTTAAGACACCATTCACTCTGAGCTGTAGATATTCTGTTTCGAAGGTGCCTAAAAAATATAGACACAGTAATTTATTATCGACAAATGATTGTGTTCAATTTTTCATTATTGCATCTATTCAATTTGTTGATGCATTTTGCATTAAGATTCTTCATTTTATAATCATTCTTTATTGCTTTGTCATTTTACAGATTGTAATTTTAAGTACAATGAAAGTATTAATCACAAAAAAACTAAAGGTGAAGTCTATAGTATTATACTTCTACCTATTTATGATTTGGTTCATTTAAACTTTATCAAATATATAAGTTACAAATTTATTTAGTTTATTTTGTTCTTAGGGATGCAAAACATCACATACCTTGGCTGCTTCAACATACATGGCATAAGAAAGCATTAGAAAAAAGTCGACGCTTATCATGGACGGAATGTACTTCTTCATAAGGGTTAGTATGTTTCATTGGATTTCTGGTGATAAGTCATTCACTAGTGATGCATAATGTTATCACTCTGTTTAGGGTTTACAAACTTCGATTGAGTGTTTTGTTATTTTCATCTTTAATCTCTACTGTTTATTTGGAATGTGAAAATTGAATCATTGTTATGGAATCGTTTAAAGCTTTTTACTATTGATAATTTATTTATTTTACGCTTTTTATTTTAAATTCTTACCATACTTCTGACACATGAACCTTTACCATTCACAGAAATGCGGTAAGGGGTAAAAATAAACTGGGGCATGTATTCAAATATGAAATTATGAGTTACACTCGATTCTGGAAGCTAGGAGAATAGCTTTTGACGAAGGAATTGGCACAAAATATTTGATATTTTCTCATTATTGAGTTGCAGGCGATTGAAATCGTGAATGGACTACTATTAAAATTGAAATGAAATTGAAGTATAGAGATGTGGGTCTTGGATAAACTTTTTCTACTGATGTGTCCTAGAACGTAGTT